ATAGGAGAGTATTACGAGATAAAATTTAAAAATTTATGAAAAAGCCCCCAAGGTTTGCTAATTTAATAAACACCCCAATATATTAAAATATTGTAAAATAACAAAAACACCCCTACCACCTGCAGTGTCAGATTTCAGCCACCACCACCGGAATCTAGCTGGAAAATTGGATAACCACACATACCGGTCGGATTTGGCGGGTATTCGATCGATATGGCCTTTTCCGGCCACATCCACCACGGATTTGGCCGGAAAAGGCCAGATGTGGCCTTTGACGACCGGAAAAGGCCATCTTTGCGACGGCCAAAGATATGACCGTCATTATCTATCAACGATGGCCAAGATTTGGCCGTTGCTGACGACTAGATCTGGCCATTACCGACCATTTTTGGTGATCATGTGACTGTTATGACAGATTTCAGCTATCACCGGCGGTGGTTATCGAAATCTGACAAGTATTGGTAGGTGAGGGTGTTTTTATTAGTTTTTAAACTTTTTTCTATGGGGTATTTAATGAAATTAATAAACTTATGGAGGCCTAACGTAATTAAAAAAATAAACTAATATTTTGAAAATAACATGCCAAACAACATTTAAAAAATATGATTGAAAATATAAATAAAAACAATAAGTCAAACGCATCTAATATTATCTTCTCTCATCAATTATTTATGATGAGCAAAAATTGGTTCCAAAGTCAATTCATGTAGAGCTAAGAGTACCAAAACTCAACATCATAAATTTTTTTTATTATTTTTATATGTTCGTGAATGTCACGCTTTATCCTTACTATTAAAAATAATTTATTACCTTTTTTTGAAACTTTTAGGAATCATGTAGTTTTGGACTTACATGTTGTATCAATTTTATTGAATAAGTTGACCAAAATGATCGACCACGTGTAAGTCACCCATTCCCTGAAGATTAATATCTTTATATTAATTAATAAATGCCTCTTTTTTGCTTTTTAGAGAAAAAAAAAAAAAAAATATATATATATATATATATAATTTTTAGTCAATAAAATCTCCATCCTCATCCACACGCGATGCGATCATCAACGTGGCACTAATTGAATCTGTGTGCGCTGTACGCACCCTGTGCATTTCAGACATTCTTTCTCAAGTAAAAAAAAATTGTCTTCTTTTCTAACCAATTTTCTACTTACCTCAAAAATTTCTATCTGATTTTCTCACACTTTCTGAATAAAAAAACCCTAGTTTCACCGCTTATATATAAATCTTTTCTACCCCTTTTCTGATTCGCACAGAATTGAATTTTCAATTTGTTGATTGTTCAGCTGCAGTTAGTTTACAAAATTTCAAACCCTGATTTCTAAATTCAAATGAAAGAGCTGTAAATCTCAAAATTATCGGTTCAATGTCAGTAGAGAGGTCGTTTGAAGCATGGGAGGAGGTCCAGCGCCACGGTCAAGACCTGGCGGACCGGTTGGCTCAAGGTTTCACTGGTCTAATTCAATCTCACATGACGAATCCGCCGTCGTTTTCGTGGCCAAACCCGACAAAATCGAAACATTTCGATTTAGAGTTCCCGCTTGCGAGTTCCACCAAAAGGGATTTCGCTATTTCGGTCGGCAAACCCGAGATTAACGGCGTTTCGGCGATTTTTGATATTGGTAACAGGATTGGGCAGGCTGGGGCTGACTTTGGGGCGTGTTTGAATGGATTGGTTCATCAATTCTACAGACAGTTGCCTGTGCCTTTTAAGCATGAAGAGAGTGGGATTAGACTGGAGTTGAATGGGATTGATAGTGGTTTGAAGAGAAATGATGTGGGGTTGAGTGTTGGGGAGAGTTTTGGTGTTAGAGAAAGAGAAAGAGAGAGATTGAGGGGTGTTGGGGCTGTTGAGAATGATGGTGGTAATGATTTGGATGAAGAAATGGGTGGGCTTGATTTGCGGTCAGCCGCGCATCTCGGTAGGCCACAGGTAGTTGTTTATCTGAAGCCCATTTAGGTAATATTAGGGAGATTTATAGGGTGAGTTTTTTTTATTGTATTGGATTATGTGTATGTAGTTGATATGCTTTTGATATGTACTTGTGTTATTTCATCTTGCTAGACCGTTTTGTTAAACCAAATCCACCAAGGTCTTATATATCCCCAAGAGATCCAACTGACTAAACTAGCTAGACCTACATGAACCGTGGTTGTATATCAGTGCTTGTTAGATATACTGGTATTCATTATGTTTGTTATGGAATAGGAATAAGTACTTTTGCAAAGTGTGTAGGCGTCTAGGGTGGATAAGAGTCCCTCACTAAGAAGCTATTGCATTAGATAATGGAATCAATGGATTTGTTTGTGGAGCTTCTTCGCTTCCCGGGCAGATTCTCTATTGCCTTTTTCACTATCATTATAACTATCTTGGGTTTCATAAAGGAAAATCACTAGCTTTGTACTTATTCAACTGTTTGTGGTTCTTGCATAATTCTTGTGTAATAATCATTGGTTGCAAACAAGTGTTTCATTAACAAGTTTAGCGTTAAGTATGAAATTTTCTGTTATAAATGGCGGACCTAATAAAGGAAGATGTTCTCTGTAATACAGGGGATCATAAATATTTCGTCAACTTATGACAGTCGAACACATGGCTTGGAAAGTTCTCTCGTTGCAAGGGGAGATTTATGGAGAATAGAGGCATCAAATGACAGTTCCACATCAGGGAACGACAATTCATCTCTTTTCCTTGTTCAGCTTGGACCAGTACTCTTTGTTCGTGATTCAACGCTTCTTTTGCCTGTTCATTTGTCAAAGCAACACTTGCTTTGGTATGGATATGACAGGAAGGTATGCTATTTTTTAGTGATCTATTTGGAGAGCATTGTAAAATTGTAATTAGTGGTGAGAGTCATGACAATGCTAAAGCTTTTAGATTCATTGTCCTAATGACCTAAAATTATTTAAAAAATTTCACACAGCCACCAAAATCAATGCTGCTTGGTAGCAAAACAAATTAGGATAGTGATTAGGGTGATTTTATTTTCTGATGTTGGTTATCTGTGTAGAGATTCTAATGCATAACTTTTCTTTCCCTTAAAATTGTATTTGAGAATTTGGACATGGTGATACATTTGTTTTTATAAATCATGAGAGTATTTTCTAGTTGCTTTAATATTAATATATTGGCTTCTAGTGCCATTGACAATAATTGGTTGTGTTACCTTTTTCCTTCCCTTATCTAATAGTCATACTGGCAATTTGTTTTCATTACTTTATGATGCTAATGCAACTGGGTTTCCATGGCCTTTTACCTAGATGTTTCTACTGTGTTATATCTAGATTGTCTTATGTTTTAATTTTTTTTGCTTTTCAGAATGGAATGCATTCTCTTTGTCCAGCTGTGTGGTCAAAGCATAGAAGGTGGCTGTTGATGTCCATGTTCTGTCTAAATCCTTTTGCTTGTGTAAGTTCATGTCCTCTGTCTGATGTAAATATTGTAATTGATATGTTCACTATTAATTTACCAACATTGAGTTTTTGTTGCTAAGAACTAAATCTTTTTCTTGCTTGATAGGAATACGATTGCCCTAGTAATATGATTAACCGGTCATCATTTGCTTGTTTAGTTGTTCTTATCTACATTGACAGAAGTTGATTGGCATGATAGGAAAGCAGGATCACCAACAGTTTCAATCATTTGGACACCCTTTGTTCCCTCCAAAATTTCTATTAAATTGGCAAATGCTTTTGTTTGGAGATTTCATTTTCATTTGTTCAGTGGTGCTTTTTGTATTTTACTTCATAGTGCTTTTTTAGTCTTGATAATATCTGAATTGCTTTACCTCAGCTTGATTTCATACAAGTGACTTGAAAATCCTCCAAATAAGGTGTCAGCAACTTCAACCTCGTTTCCTGATGATACACAGAACTTTTATTTGCAAAATGATGATGAGACTAGTTGAGTACCTTCTTGGTATTGTTAGAAGTCCTGGAGCATCTAGGTTGGGTTTGATGTCGAATCCAGCCTTTTAATAAAATGAGGAATGAAAAATGAAATTAAAAAAAGGAGATATCTCTTTTTCTGCTTTGTTATTGCAGGACCAACAATGGTTTGTGCTTTTTAATGCTATTGAGATTTGTTGTGTGAATGAACGAGCTCTCATCGTTTTGACTATTGATCTCTATTTGAAGGGCACTGCACATTTTAGTAATCCTATAATAGAACAGATGAAGTAACTGGTTCATTTGAAACGTGATGAATTGCTGCTGGAATTATTATTATTATTATTATTTCTGTATTCTGAAGGGAAGATTCTAATTTTCTTCTCTCTCCATGCAGTCGTTTGTGGATTTGCAGTTTCCTAATGGACAGTTAACTTATGTATCCGGCGAGGGTCTAACGACTAGTGCTTTTCTACCACTTTGTGGAGGCCTTCTCCAAGCACAGGGTCAATTTCCTGGAGAAATGAGATTTAGCTTCTCGTGCAAGGTTAGATTTTAAATTATGAAATACAGTGGCCAAAATAATATTTAATTAGGTGTCCTTGATTTTCAAAATTGAATTGTAGTTGTAAATTTATCAACTTTTTGGTGCCCTTGCTTTTTGGAAACTAAACTATTACCTTTCTAATATGCTATCAGAATAAGTGGGGAACACGTATCACACCAATGGTCCAATGGCCTGACAAGTCGTTTACGTTGGGTCTTGCACAAGCTTTGGCTTGGCAGAGGTCTGGTCTTATAGTGCGGCCAACTATCCAGTTCAGGTATGCATTTTTAGTTATGTGATGAAAATGTGATTTTCCAATTAATTATTCAATTTTGCATAGTTGATGTTTGTAGAACAAATTAGCAATCCATCCTTGTCATGATTTTGCTTCATGGTTAAATAGCAAGTTGTTCTCAAGCTGCAAAACCCTGCTTGTTTTCCTTTGAAAATGGGAGGGAAAAAAAAAAAAAAAAAAAAAACATAACAAATTACCAAAAAAAAAAAAAAAAAAAAAGCTCCAAAACCTATCAAATCTGGGTCATTTTAGTTTCCTACATTATCAAAATCTGTGGTATTTTCATTGGTTGTTTACATGACTTGCTAAAGCATTGATATCATGTCTTGTGGTTATTTGCTTCATTGGTAGTAATATTCATTTATTCATTCTCTTCAGTTTGAACCTTTTGCTCTTCCATCTATACGATACTCTGTGATGGCATTTTGTTTACTTATTTCGTTCCCTGAACAGTTTATGCCCCACGTTTGGTGGAAGCAATCCTGGGTTGCGAGCAGAACTTATTCATTCCTTGAAGGAGGAACTGAACCTTATCTATGGCTACACATGCATGACACATCCTTCTGCATTTGCCTCAATTTCGGTAAGTCAGACATGATGACAATATGCCTTTTCTGAACCTGAATTTCTGGTAGTTAGAATTATAATTCATACTCATTTTCTTGTAATCTATTCCTTCGATGCAGATTGGTAGGTCTAAATGGAATGGAAATGTTGGAAGCTCAGGGATAGTGATGAGAGTTGATGCTCCTCTTTCACGTGTTGGCCGACCTTCTTGCTCCGTCCAGATAAATAGTGGCATCGAATTTTGATTCTTTTTTTTTTTTTTTTTTTCTGTCACCCACATAAAAAGTGTATATAGTCATGGGCTCATTAACAAACAACTACTACATATGAATATGCAAATAATATTATTGATCCATAAGTGTTCTCTGTATCCTCTCTCACCTTTATTAATCCATAAAATGTGTCCTCTGTATTCTTACTTTTGCGGTGTTTATATTAAAATTCATATTGATCATTATAATATTCAAATGAATTTGGCTTAAGTTCCAAATTTCTTTCTTTGAAGCTGTTTGATAAATTGAGCAATCTATCAATTTCATTATTGCTTTTTTCTATTAATATTATGAATATAAACAAAATAAAGTTAAACCATATTAATAAATTTACTAACAATCATATTTCTTGGAAAGCACTGAAACCATATTAATATTAATAAACTTTACAAAGTTGTATACTTGTATGAAGTAGATATAGGTAATTAACAAATAATCATTATTATGGTTTTTATTTCCTCAAAAATTTTATCACCTATAATTCTGAGAAGGCTTATTGACAGAGTTTTACTTTTTTAATGAGGTGATAAACTATAAGTGATGCCCTGATGCATTGGTATAGTGAAAAACTGAAAATTGGTTATCCCAACAATCATTTTTGTTTAAATTAGGGATCATTTATTCTAAATAATAATGTTTGATGATATAATGTTTAAATTAAATTAAATTTATTAAAGGGTAGATATTCTATCTAATACAAAAATTAATGAATTTTGCCACTAAAGGTTGATAGATATACTGTTTTACCCCTATTGCTCTTTGAAAAATAATTAAATTCATTAAAAAAAAACTAAGAATTTCTATTTGGATTAATTCTTATCAATCTTATTTCATGTTTTACTTTCTTTGTTCATTGTATTGTAATTCAAAGTTAAAACATGTATTAATATTTCATCGTTCAATAATTCTGTCAAAACATGTATAAACTATGTGATAACAAAATATCTTTATTTTGCATTCAACGAGATGTAGACGTGATAAATAAATAATCATCATAGATTTATTGTGGTCTTGAAATTATATGAGAATGAAAACTACAACTCTAGTTGCTATTTCTATGTCTAGTTTACTTGTAAGTTTTATTGGAAACTACAATTAAAGGATCCATTACTTTGTTGTTTTTAATGTTATTCAAAGGATGTCAATTTAAACATAACTATTCCTTTAAAAATTTGGTTATTTATTGTTTGACGGTAACATTGCAGACATTATTGCAATATAAATTTATTTTCATAGTATTTTCTATTATTCTACATCCCTCTCATTTAATTAATACTTACTAATTTATTTGGATGAAAATCAGTTTAGTTTTCACTAATATCTTAATTATAATTAAAGTAATAAAGTTTAACAAATATTTTATTTTCTCCAGTATGTTTGTTATAATACAAAATCTTGATAAGCATAACCCTTGTCATTTATAAAGATAACAGTGGACAGCATAACATTTACCATTTTTTATACAAAGGGTGTTTTGTATGAATTATGTCGTCAAGGAAATATGCTCTTAATTTGTTACTATATTTTGGAAATGGAATTTTGAAATTGTAAAAACAAAGATGTTGTTACAAAAGATAGAATAATTAAATATAAAGGAATGAAAAAGACAAAAAACCTATACGAAGAACTAGAACTCTTATTGCTCTCTACTTACTTATGAAAGACATGATTGATGCTCTTTATATAGAGCCAAAAACAACGGCTAATAGTTAAAATTAGGAACCACTTAGTAAAAACTAAAGACTATGTGAACATTCCAGTTGTCAACCCTCCTTCCTTCCGAATCTTTGATGAGCTTCAAACCCACTTCAGTTGGTGTGCTAACAAAATTGCAATTCTTCATTTGAAACCTATCTAAAATTTCTCACACATACTTCTTTTGAGAAATAAAAATTCCAGTAGCAGATTGTTTAACTTCTATGCCCAAAAAAGAATGCATTAATCTAAGATCAATAATTTCAAATTCAACACTGTTTAAAATCTTCAATCATGGCACTATCATTTCCAATGTAAATAAGATCATCCACATATACGCACACAACAAACATCTTTCCTCCATCACAATTTTTTGTAAAAAGTGTTTGCTTATATGGACATTTCTTAAATCCCTCATTAGAAAAATAAGCATCTATACGACTATACCAAGCTTTCGGAGCTTGTTTTAGTCTATATAGTGCCTTTTTTAGTTTAGACACCTTATTCTCACCTCCAATCTTAACATGACCAGAAGGTTGATCGATAAATACATGTTATTCTAAATCACCATGTACATGCAACTAGAAGATAGGTCCATGAGTTATGTGCTATCAAAGCGATCAACAATCTAATTGTATTGTGCCTTGCAACTAGAGCAAATATTTCTTTGTAGTTAATGTCAAACTCTTGTTTATAGCCTTTAGCTACTAACGGCCCTTTGTATTTGTCAATTTGGCCATTCTCCTTCAATTTTGTTTTGTAAAACCCACTTGACACCAATTGTCTTGTGCCCTTTTGCAAGATCAGTTAAATCCCAAGTGCTATTTCTTTCAATGGTTGAAATCTCATCATTCATAGCCTTTTGGCATTTTGATTCTTTGACAATTGTTTCATAAGTGGTAGGATCACAATCAGAAAATAGAGCAAAATATGTAATTGGGTTAGCAGATTGGTCAATTCCAGTTACTTCATAATCCTCCATCCATGTTGGACTTTTTCTATTACATTGAGCACGTGTGCTGGTTGGTGTATTTGATTGTTTTCCTAATTGACAACCGTTTGTCGCACCTGTTGGAGGGTTTTGAGAATCAACTAGAGCATTTTGAATGGTTGTTGGTTGCTGCACATTCTCCATAGACTACTGCATTTTCTCATCACCATCAAAGTCCGTTGGAATATGTTGTATAACACTGTTCTCGTTCAATGACTAGGTCTGATCTTCATTAAAAACAACATCACAACTTATTAAAATTTTCTTGATGCTAGGATTGTAAAGCTTATAAGCTTTTGATTCATCACTAACATCAAGAAAAATGTATTTTCTCCCTTGTCATCAAGCTTTTTCCTCTTTTGGTCTGGAATATGGGCATACGCAACACACCCAAAAATTCTGAAATGGTCGACTGTTGGTCTTGGTCCACTCCAAACTTAATAAGGTTATTTTGAACAGCAAGAGTAAGATTCTATTCAAAATATGAGTGCTTCAATATTCTGCTTCGGGCCAGAAATTCTTTAGAATCTTGCTTCTAGTCAAAAGGCTTCGCACCATATTCAACATAATGCGATTTTTCCTCTCACAAACACCATTTTGTTGAGGCGTATAAGCTGCTGTAAGTTGCCTCTTGATGCCATTTGTCTCACAAAAATTTGCAAAATCATGTGAGTTATATTCTCCACCATGATCCATGCGAAGAACTTTTATTAAGTTGCCAACCTCTTTCTCAACAAGCGTTTTATGACTTTTAAAGGCTATAAATGCTTCAAATTCTTTCTGCAAAAAATAGACCCAATTTTTCTGACTATAATCATCAATGAAGGTAATTATGTATCTTTTGCCTCCATTGGAAGATGGAGTTATTGGCCCACAAATATTGGAATGAACAAGCTCCAATGCCTTCTTCACTCTCCATGATTTTCCTTGTGGAAATTGATTGCGATGTTATTCGCTAACAACACATTCTTCACAAACTTCAGAGGGACCTATAATTTGAGGAATACCAGTCACCATATTTTTCTACTGTAGAGTCTTCAATCCACCAAAATTTAGGTGACCATAGCGAAAGTGCCATAGCCGTGCTGCATCATTCGATTTTGTTGAGAAGCATGAATGGATAGTGTTTTGGAGATAAAAGCGGAAACATCCGATTTGCTGTCATATTGACTTGAGCAATTAATCCCAATTTTACATCTTGAATTAGACATACTCCATCTTTGATAGAAATGTCGTATCCCTTCTCTTGAATTGACCAATACTAAACAAGTTTGTTTTCAAATCTAGAATGAACAAGACATTAGAGATAGTTTGAATATCACTTCCCTTGGTTTGGATTGCTACCTTTCATTTTCCCATTACAGAAACTTTAGAATTGTTTCCAAATTTCATATCATCTTGGAAAGATACATCCAAAGCAGAGAATGCAGATTTGTCTCCACACATATGGTTGTTGTAGCCCAGGTCTAAATACCACAAGTTCTTGTTTATCTCCTCATTTGCATGGCAAACCATCAACAAAGATACCTCTTCTTCTGTTTCTGTGAAATTAGATTTCTCCCCATGTCCTTTAGAAAAATTAGTACGACATTCTGGCTTATAATGGCCATATCTGTGGCATCTGTAACACTCAACATAGGACTTGTCTGTTGACTTTGGTTTAAAAGTAGTTGAGTGGTGGCCTCCTCGTCTTCTACCTCTTCCTCCTCCTTTGGAATCATGAAATATATTATCTTGGTATTGGTGTTGTTGAAAATTTGCAAGATCCTTATTTCCTCTGATTCTACCTCTTCCTCTATTTGGTGTTGAAAAATGGTTGTCAACTAAGACCTTTAATGCTTGCTATTCTTTCTCTTGCTGGTTAATTTTTTGCTCATGAACTTGCAACGAACCTTGTAATTCATCAATTGAAAGCTCTTCAATATCCTTGGATTCTTCTATAGAATAGACAACAAAATTGAAATTTGGTGTCATGAATTGAAGAATATTCTCAACAACGGTGACATCCTATGTCTTGTCGCCATGGATTCACATCTTATTGACAATTGCAATCGTTCTTGAAAAATAATCTATCACAGATTTTCCAGATTTCATTCGAAGCATTTCGAACTCTGAACAAAGTGCTTGAAGCTATTGTCTCTTTGCCCTTGTCAATCCTTGGTACTTCTTCTTCATGGAATCCCAAATCTGCTTGGAAGTTTCTTTGCAAATAATTGTTTCCAAGGTTGAGCGATCAATAGCTTGGAAAAGATAATTCTTTGCCTCAAATCCTTTAGCTTAAGTGCTTCCAACTTTGTCCTCTCCATCAATGTCATACCGTCTACTGATTCTGCTACTTCATAATCAACCACCTACCAATATTCTTTGGACCTCAAAAAGTTCTCTATCAGCATGCTTCAA